AAGAAAAAACATTTCAATAGGTCTAAAATACTGCATTAATAAACTGCCTAACAAGGTTTCTCCTCTATCCCTGGTAACTCTGCTTTCCACTTACCTTGTCACAAAAAACCTTGATCTGGCAGTAGGCTCGATGGATGGGTTTATTGCTGCGGTTGTTGTAGCTGTACGTATCGATCTGAATCATCAAAGGAAGCCCTTTTACTCCTTTTTGTGAGGAGAAGTCTGTGCTCAAGCAATTCACTGTGATGAAAATCTGTGTGCCAGAGAGATTACTTTCAAAATGCGGAGCAAACAATGATTAAAATTCCGGAAACGCATGACAACAAACAGGAAAATAAAAGCAGATACATACACTACCCCCTCACCCCAAAAGAAAAGTTTTTAATTCAGCTACAATGCAAACTCTGGCAACTCACAAATTTATTCCACACTTCTGTCCTAAATCCAGCACAGACGCTCCCACGCTGGGAAGAAGGACAAACTTTTAGGGCGTGTACCAGTGCTTTGGTTTGGATCAGGAGCTCACATTTGAGGTGAATCATTTGGTTATACCAAGTTACCATGGTTGGGTTCACACCAGAGAGCTCAGAGTATACAAGCTGGACTGTTTTTGGAAGAACCAGACCAGATGATGTGTCCTAGACACTCCTCAGATGCTCCAGCTGCTAATAATTGCTCAGTCCATGGGAACTGACTAAAAGTAACACGAGATAAAACCTCCTAAAATGTGCATCACGCGGATGTCAGATTTTTAGCCCTACAAACCTACTCTGTATGTTTGCACTATTTGTTAATACAGATCATCTTGCTTCATCCTTTCCAGCTGTGTTTGGTCTGGCTTGTTCTTCTGACAGTTCATAGTTCTAATTCAGTGGGCAAAGAGCAGCCCTACCCCTTTATTTATTTTACAAATTTTCTTCCCACTTTCATCAGCAGTGCTCCTTCTTCCATCCCATCAACAGATACTCCTGATCTACACTTTAAGGGCCCTTCACTGTCTTTCTTCAATTTCAAAAATGCACGTCACCCTGTCTTTCAAACTGGGATGGAGTTTTGCAAACATTTATAAGACTATTCTCTACCTCTTCTCAAAAGTTCCCTTGGTCATGTAGCATCCACATAAGTTGACATTGCATTCAGTTCCCAGTAACTTCCCTGCTTGCCTGTGCTTCAGAAATCCATCTACAGCTCTCCTTCTACAATTACATATGTCTGTTGGTACCCACCAGTCATCTCCTGCTCTCTATTTCCATTAGTACCATGGGACAAGGTTCTCTCATCTGCCATGTCTTTGGACAGGACCTGGGAGAAGGGTCTCCCACAACCAAAGTCTCCCAAGGACTATTCTGATGTGAAGCAAGTGCTGTGAACTGAAATACCACTGATAGCATTCCATCAGGATAGTGTGCATGAAACTTGAGACGAAACTGGAAAAAAATCCCAGTTTTCTGCCCAGCGAGGAATATGTACATTACATGATAATTTGGGGCGATTATGTATTAACCTGATTCTACTTTTCACTTTTCCTCAGTTTAAAAAAACAACAACAAACAAAACCCAAAACTGTTAGGAAGAAACTGAGTAAGGAAAAGGACAGAGAAAACCTCCCGTATGTATCTCCTGAACTAAAAGGATGTGAAACCTGCTCCAACAGAACAAGGACACTCAGAATGGAAGAGATCTCAAACAGGTCTCTTAAATAGACCTGATGCACACCTCACCAGGCAGAGGAGAGGGCAGCAGACCCATGATGGTCTGGGAAGATTTGGGAAAGAAGAGTATGAAGGAATCCCTCCCTGATTCACAAACAGGGAAAACAAACCAACTGTGAGTGACCAGAATGCAGCATCCCAAAGAAAGGCAGATGAGAATAAAGAAGGGCCCTGGCAGGGCTAATGGGGGATACTTTATCCTCATGGCAGAATTTAACATTCCAGTCAGGGTCTTTATGATGGAGCCAGAGCAGCTTGTTTGCCTGACTGAGCTAATGGCCCCTCTGCTTTCTGCTTCTGATTGTATCACAGAGCTGCATTTACAAATGAAATAGTTGAACTTTAACTGCGGGAGAGGAGAGGAGGGAGGCGGGGAAGGGCCCTAGGTGAAACTCTGATTTTGAAGCTGATAGTGTTATTTCTGTTTCAAATTACAACTTGGTCTCCTCCAGCTCCAAAGGTAAGTGTGGATACAGGCGCATACACCTTTGAAATACAACGGCCTGGATTTTCATGTGCCTTCAGACTCCTTTACGGTGTCAGGGCAACACTTGAAAGTGCGTGGGAACACACAGCAGTGTAATGAGGTCTAGCATAAAACAGAATCTGGTCTTTCTATATTTTAGCCCATACTTCTGCACAGGAACTTTCCAAACCGTATGTTAAAACATGAGAGGGGATGCACCATTGTCACAGCATCTACCCAGCAGTCTGTGCATCTCCCACCTTTGCTGCATGTTCAGCTGAAAAGTAAAAAAAAAATCTTGTTGCACCTTAATCAACTACATAGACTGTGTGTCATCTTTTGCACTGCCTCCAGAATCACAGAGTGGAGTAGGAGCAGCTGGGGAAGACAGACTTTATCATTTAAAGAGTCCCCATACAGCAATAACAGATTATTCAGCATGAATAATAGATAGATGCTGTAAGATTCAATATCTTGTCCTGACACTGTAATACATCAGGATTTCTCTGAGGAGCAATGACTGTACATTCACACACATGAAGTGTACTATACTTTCTGTCATATCTTTTGCACTTTGCAGATAGACAGAAGGATTCGAATTAACACAGATCATTCATTTTGGGGATATTTTCTGTCTCCACACAATGCTAAATTAGCTTTCCTGTAAAGCACAACACTTGACTTTGGATTTGAAAAACATGGTGGGGGTGTGCAGAGGGAAGCGAAGAGGGTGTAGGTTTAGCTATTTTTTACTTGATTTTGAGGTCTGTTTTCCTTTGCATGACTTTGCAGCAGACTGCCATGGTGAACAGGACCTGGGGAAACATCTGGACAGTCCCCTTCTGTCTCCCTGCTCTGACCAGAAACCACCTCCCCAATGCAGTGGCCTGCTTTGAGCAGAAATTATTTCATCTGCCTGTCCAAGCACAGCCTGCCCTTTACAACCCTCAACTTTCCCTTCTCAGCTCCTGTCCATAGTGCAGGTACTCCAACTCACAATGAGACAAGGGACAAGCCAACTTCACAGGCAGCCATGCAAAGAAGTGCTGCTCTACTTCTCTTAGAAGATACCCAGGTTTCAGATCCTTCTTGCTCTGGTCTCTTGCATGGTAAGGTTAATATGGTTAGAAAATGTAGAGTTAAGTAAAAATGACAGCAGCAGGGTAGAAATCACTGTTTCCCTCTGCAGCCTTGTCTACACTTGTCTTAGAGCTATATTAATAAAAGTGACTATGATTGCACATGAATTAATTTACAAACTTTTTTCTTTTCTGTGCAAACTGGAACTCAGCAATGTTTTGCTATCAGGAACACATTCGGGTTGTCGTTATAGTGATGCCTTTCTTTTTTTAATGTCAGCATATCTTAGATTAGAGCAATTAATGTCAGAGTTCCACCCATCTAGTCTCCAGCTCAGGCATGCCATTGGCAATGAAACACTAATTTGGGGAAACATTTGGTGCTGAGGAAGTTTCAAAAGTGGCCAAAGATAATGAGAACTGCTCTGTTTGTTATACAGCATGTCTAGAAAAAGCACTTGCTCTTTCGGGGAAGGCACTCCTCCATGGTGTAGCTGCTATTATGTGAATTACTGACTGTTTGTTAAATACTGCAGCATAATTAGGGATGTACAAGACACAAACACAGTAATCTGTTTTAAGAGAAAGCAAGGCTCAGAAATGCATTTCCCTTTTTATCATTTAATCCAGCCAACATGACTCCTGCTGTGGTCTCCCAGCTTATACACTTTAAAGGTCTATGAAAGACATTACAAAACTTCTAATATAAGCCTTTTATTACTATTTACATTTCTGGCTCCCATTGTCTCAGAAAGAGCCAAGGGCAGAAGGGAGGGAAGAATGTGTTATAGCACAAAATCAGAAAGTTAAAGCAGTCTCTCTACTGAATACTGGCAATACAGAGAACATAGGCCTAGGCAACAGGTATTTAAAAACCTGTTTTAAAAAGGTTCATCCCTCCAGACTGTAATAACAAAGAGTTAAATGACTCGTCTCTCAAATGACTAACATCAATCCCATCATTCCTCCTATGCACAAAAAGTGTGGTTTTACAGTTTCTCCTGCCAGCCATTACCTTATAAATCCCACACAAAGGTAAGACCTTTGTTTTATTTCAATACAAATGTCTCCAGCAAATGTTTACACTACTCTTTTGAAGCCTCCTCAACCTACACCACACCCAGGCAACTACATAAAAATGCCATTTGCCTTGAATCCCAGATGCATACTTACCAAGCCATTTGTATACACTGAATTTCAACATTATGTGCTACCACAGGTTAACTCTTCTTTAATATATACACGTATGTGTGCATGTCTCACACATATGTGCACACTGGCACAAACAGACATGGTTTGTTACAGTAGCAAAGCTGAGTCTAATCCTACATAATTTCTGGTACTAACTCCCAAAAATGAAGACACTCTTCCTTCAGCCTTTAAATTTTGAGAGTAAGGAAAAAGTTAATTTCCTTTCTAATTAAATTAAATTTGATGTAACTTAAGAAGGAAATTCATGATTAAGAACAAAATAATTCTTCTACTTGTCAAAGCCTGTCCTTAGTATCACTAACAACATTCAAAAAAATATGGATTGTCACAATACAAATCACTGCTAGAGACAATGCTGCTCTAGAAGCTTGACTTTACCATTGCGCTCACTGGAGCTGGAGCTCACTTTGGCCCACAATATCCAAGAACCTAATCCTGCAAATCACTCACTCTTTGAAAACAGTTTATTACTGTATGGGCTATGCCAAAACTCATTAAATAATTGGAAAGGTTCCCAGGGGCTTCAGCATGCTTTGGATTAAAGATCTACACTTCAGTTAAATATAGCAGGACAATGATTGCACTGAAGTATACATAACAACTGCACAGAGCACAAGTACTGTACACACCAAAAAGTGTATGCCAGCACCTGTCTGAATAACACATCCACTAACATGTCTGTTTACTTCATGTCCAACTTGGGTGCTTAGCAGAAATCAGTAATCTCTTGGTATCACTGAAAACTATTTTTTGTCTCTTTAAGGCAACTGTTCATTGAAGTCACATCTTTGAATTTAAGGTTAAAAAGCACTTTCCACAAAAATATAATGTAGTATTTCAGAAGCAACAACATTGTAACTGTTTTAATTAGCAAATTACCTATCAGAGAGAAGGCATATCTCAAAGAATTGGCATGATTTATTACAAACATATTCTCCTCTGACCATAAGAAAGAATTCTGGTTCTTAATGACCTTTCTAGCAAACTTAACTTCTATCAACAATAAGACTGCAAGCAGAGATGTCTGTCTCTCAAAAATGAATCTGAGCTTTGTTCAAAAGCCTCCACTGAAACGTTGTCAACCAGTCAGATGCTGCAGCAAAATCTTCTATAGGGCAACAACAAGGCAACTACCTACCTTCAAGCATATTATAAATAGACTTTTAAAGGATGGATAAAAAGTCAGCTAGTTACTGTTAATTGCTGTTTGTTTCCTCACTTTTTTTTAAAGAACTCCTTTAAAAATACCAAACATGCCATTCAGGTTCAACCAAAGGGAGCCAACAAATCACCTTGCCCATAAATGTTGCATATTTATACACAGAATTAAATGTGGAAGTGAAACAAAGATGCATTGTACAAAACTGTTTTTCTTTTCCTACCTCTGCTTCCTTACAGCACAGTATTTTTGTCTCAAGGAAGCATAAGGTAGAGTTACACATGGCTGTAGAGCCCTCCCTTCACTTCCCTGCATCCTGCTCTGAACCACAAGCCACACAGTGACCTCTAGATAACAGCCCCAGAAGAAAAGGATGTTGTTCTAGAAAAGGGTAAGGATGTGCCAGATCCAACTGTGCTCTGCTAGAAGGCAAGGGACTGCTGCAGCCAATCAGACACAGCAGAGGAAATGTTAGCAAGTAGTGTTTCTGACTTTGGTGCTGTTTCCTTAGTTCACAGAAAGCAATAGCAAGATTATTGCACAGCTTGACATGTGCCATGCAAGATTCCCTTTCCATTGACTTGCTCTGCCAAGCAGCAGTTGGAAGGTGAGGCACAGAGCACAGGGAGCTGGAGCCAACAGCCCAGTTCCCTTCACATTACTGAAGCAGTAGGGAGAGGTCTCTGCCTGCACCCTCTGAATACTTGTTTCTTACACACAAGACCCACACGAGACACTGCCTCACCAACCCTTAGCAGGCTCACTGGTAGCAGGCAAGTTCTGGCTGCCATACACATGCTCTTACACCCTCATCCTGAAGGGCTTCCAGGGGGAGAGCCTGATCTGCTTGCATGTGGGAGGGCTTTAAATCAGCTACCCTCCAGGTAGAGTAGGAAACTGAGAAAGCTGATGCTCCAGTTACATCCTCTTAGATGCAGGATTTAGTCTCCCAGGAGAGCCAACGGTATTTGGGGAGGTGATTTCTGCTGGTACCATTTGATTTTCCAGATCACTTCCCTGTGTACTTCCAACGATGAGTCCATTTCCCTTGTTTCTTCCCAGGCCAGTAGAGCACTTCATCACATCCAGTCTCAGAGGCCCTGGAAAGAACTGCTCTGTGCCACTTTTGTCTGACTTGGAAGAGAAAGGCCTTTGTGCCTCTGAGGGGGTTAAGTTTTAATCTTGAAGTTGTGGTGAAAAGGAAAAACAACACTGAGCAGAAACAATGGAGCCAGTTGAAAGACCATCATTCAAAAAGCTCAGGAAAAGAGAGGTTGTAATTACGCCTTGAAATTCTTCATCTCTCTTGGATGAGGTAATTGCTGGAGAAAAAACAGCCTTCAGTGACGTGCATCAGAGTCCACAGCTTTCCAACACCGCAGGGGCATCCTATGGGAATCCCCAGACACAGCGAAACTGGTTATTGTATTAGGCTCTCCAACAGGATCAAGTGGGTACATGTACACCCATGTGGGGAGGGAAATGCTTTAGTGCAGCCAAAGTGATAAGCTTTCACTACAACCTGATTTATGCTTGATAGCCCAACACCAAAGCATTTCATGAATCCTCTTTTATCAATACATTTGCAGATCAAGCTCCTAAAAGATCAGATATTTGATAACTATCCCCCAAAATAAATATGCATAAGCCGATTTGCATTTCAATGACTACTTCCTGCAGAAATACAAGCAGCTTAAATTTCACTCCTGACACTGTTTTAATCCAGCAACATAGGAGTCTTTATTTTAAAATCCTAGTATGTTTTATTTCCAGTGACCATTGCGACAGTTGTGTTATTAATGTTCTGGCACACGAGGCAAGGACAGCATGAATGGTGTGAGATTAGAATAGAATGTCCAAGGTTAATACCTGACCATTGTATACATGACTTTCTTGCTCCTAGATCAATATGTTGTCTTGCTAAGTCTGGCTTGTAGCTGCAAACATGTGTTAAAGAACTGCTAGCCCTGACAACAGGGATGGTGGATGCCTGCAGGACAAGACTGCTATGCTCCAGCCCTAGCAGTGCTTCTGTAAAGGTCCATAGGAAAGTCCATCATGTTGGAGATCCCAAATCTGTATTTCCTGTATTTGCCTGCATAATGATCACACACCCACAACAGTCACCTGTTGTGACAGCAGAGGACAACACACAGCTGTATTTTGAAATGGAATCACATAATAGGGGAACATCTAGGGTGGTGACAACCTAATCATTACATGAGTAAATACAGCACCATTACAACTGGGCCAAGTACAACTCTGTTTACCAAGGCCTGCTTCTGAAAGAGCTGAGGGGTTTTCAGAACTATTGTCTTTTCTTCTAAGATGTGCATCGGAGATGAAAGTCCCTGTTATTAGAAACCTCAGCACCTTCAGTCAGCAAGTCAGGACAGTGAGTGTTAATGCTACCATTCCGTGCTCAATGTAGTCTCTCACAGGACTCACTCACTCAATGCAATCTCTCTAGTGCTCTGTTAGAAATGCAGTGGGAAATCATGCATGAAGATGTCTCTGTATCTGAAAGATTCATAGCATTACTTGAACATTGGGCATTCTGTATTCAACATGAAAACAGTATCAGGAGTTCACCAAGCTCAACGGTGTTTGCTGTTTATTAACTACATCCCCAAGAGTACTGCATTACCCCCACACATTTTACACAGCCTATTTCCCTTGTTTGCTTTCCAGGGGCCAACTTGTTCTTATAATTACCGGCAGCTTTTCATTTCTCCCACACTAGTCCATGCAGCTGAAATGCTCTGACAGCCTTTGCATAACCTTATCTGTAAGAAACTCGTTAAGGTGCTCTGCTGTCCTGGTTTATAGGTCCACTTAGCAGTCACATTCCTGAATGAAAAACCCCATGCCTGAGGGTACTTGATCATTTTACGAAAATAGTAAAAAAACCACACCGGTCCTCAAAAATACATTCATTTCAAATTGCAAGTGTAACACTATAGAAAAAAATGGCACTAACAAAAGGGAAGGCACAGTCTAACTTACAGAATACTGATTATTGCAGATGTTAATAGTGTAGAAAGGAAGTTGATCATTTAGAGAAAGAAAACATTCACCGTGTGTCTGTCCCTACACCTGACTTTGCAAGTAGAAAAAAAACTTCTACTGTTTCTCAGTGGAACAATGACTAAGAACGGATGGTACTTGTGAAGAGACATCATCTGCATGGCTTTTCCTCACCTTTGCCTCCTCATTGACATCCCAAGTAAAGGACACAGCATTGAATGCAATTTCTTCAATATTCCCAATGGTATTAAAACTCTCCTTGTAATCAGCTGTAAGAAAAAACAAACAAAATACTCATGAGAAAAGTTTGGACTTTCTCATTTACAATTCTTAGTACATCTTTGCTTCTTCAGCTGGCTTATCTAACTACCCCTTGCACTGTTCATGATTAATTAACCTTAATTGCAAAGAGGTAGTATAATGCAGCTTGAGTCTTCTGCATAGTATATCACTAGCTAATGTTTTAACAAAATATTGCTTACTCTCAAAACAGAGTGAGTGTGACTCTAGAGGCAATGAGTGGGGGCATTCATCAGCTTGGCCAAGGAATGGTCAAAACTGGATATTTAACTAAAAGCTATTGAAGCATTTAAAGGGACTGTCCAAACCTTGACATAAATAAACAACATTATGGTAAATCCTAAAGAAGCTTTCTAAAAGGCTAAGAGCTATAATTGGAGGAAATAATCAGTGTACATTTCTTGCCCAACCGTTTCAACTTTCCCATGAATTACTGCACTGGATTATGGATTCATATTCACATATTTACAAACAAAACCACAAACTAACAAAAAAAACCACCCAAAGAACCATAAAGATCCTTTTTCCAAAGTTTGTACACTACTACAGCAGTAAAGGAACAAAGTATTTTTAAGTTGTCTGACTATAAAATCTTCACCTTCTCCTCACTTCTTCCCAAAGGGCTGTTAATATTACCCACAAGCTAGCATTTCAGAAAGAATGCGAAGCAAAAGGGAGGAAGATTTGAAAGGTGACCCAACCCTCCCCCAAGCACAGTAAGGGTGGAAAACCTTGTCAAACAGATGACTCCCAAGTCTTCTTTATAATCAAAAAGAGCCTCTTGCCCCCTTTTTCTCTCCCTTTCCTGGCCAATTTAACACACTCGCTTCTTTTTTGATGACAGATTTAGAGAAATACCAGGCAGTATCTGTTTTATTAAAGGAGCTTCCAGATTGTTCATGCAAATGCATCAACTCTCTCTGGGACATACACATTTCCTAAGAATCCCTCGAGGGTTGTAATTGGACTCAGCCAGAGGACTGAGATCACACCCTTGATCTAGTTCGCCCCAAATCTGTGCTTCAGAAGCATGCTGATTCTTAGCTTTGTAATCAGTTATAGAAAGAGGATGTTTTTGTACTCTGTGAGACACACAAATGGTTTCAATATTCATTTCCCTTGCCCTCCTAAACTGTTGGTCTCTAAAAAATAATTTCAAGGCAATAACTGCTTTTAAATCATTTATAATAAAACCAGTGCTGCAAGGACAATTATTTAACACTTGAAACATGCAATCAGTATAATTTTCTTTCATCTGAAACACAAGGATGCTGGCATCTCACTAGGCAAGTGAAACATGAATGATTTTGGCTACTGTAAAAAAAAAAAAAAAAAGACAGGACATCACTGTTCTGACCATAGGAACAGCAGGAAGTATTTGGTGATGTAGCAAATTGACATTGTTTGAGAGGGCAGGCAGGCATTTCACTCCCATTGTGAACTCAGATCTCCTTTTCAACTGAAGTAATTGGCTTCAGTATCTAAACTCAATGTGAGGATGCAAATGAGAGGAATTAGAAGACACATAAGTAGTTTAAAATGCATGTGCACACATCCACCCACCCTTAAATTTATGATTCACCAGAAAGCGCCTCGTGCAACTGACTGCTGCATATGGGCGTGCTGTGTAGGTGCACCTTGGAAAGACATGAACAAGATGTCTTGTAAAGACACATGTTTTCCACTCCTAAAAGGCTGTCAGAACCTCACATCCCACCAACCCTTCCCTTCCCCAGCACATGCCTCTGCTTCCTTAATTGCCATACACAAATCTCATGGAGTGTCTGTTGAAAAGCAGAAGTGCATCCTATTCCCTTCAATTTACAGACAATTAAAGAAGGATCCTCAGCTGATTAAGAAAGCATTTACATCCAAGGAGATCTGAAAGCTATTAGAGTGACTACAGTTTTTCCTCTTCTGCATTACCGCACAGAGAAAATCAGGGTTCTTTCAACATGCAAGAAAAACAGCTCTACAGGAATTATTTCCTCTTTTGTTAGGTAAACTTCATATTTAACAATGGCAAATTTTAACTTTAATAATACATTACATACCATTGTAGTAGCTTTTGTATTGTGCACATAAATAATACAAACTATCCTGAAAAAAAAATGGGTAAGTTTCTGGAGCACGAAGCTTCCACACCCACTCTTTATGTTCATATTTGAACCTGTTTCAGTATTTGTCAATTATTGTACTGATTCAACATAATCAATATTTGCTACAATCTAGTATTGTATTCTTTATTTGACTTTTTCTGTAAGGAAAACAAACTAGTGATCTAATGTCATAGCACTGTGAAAAAGACAGCTGGTTCTCTTCCCCCCTGCCCTACTCCTGCTAAAAACAGTGAACATGCCTTTCTCCTTCTTCAGAAAAATCCATTACAGCACATAGCCTAAATTTTGGAAAACACCTTTCCCTCTTGCTTGACAAGGGTCAAGCCCTCAGGTTTATCCCTCAAGCACTAAGGACTTGCTTGCATGTCAGTATATGTTTATCCTATTAATATCAACATGTCTTCAGACCTGGTACTGCATCTAATCCATTCAGCCATCCTTCCTCCCAGGAGGTGCACCAGGCAGCACACAGAACAAATTAAAGCAGTGACCCCTGCATGTCTGGAGTGAAGGAATAAGTCACTCTATTTCTTCTGATCTCCAGAAAATAACTGTAGGCCATAAGGCAGACAGACCCGTGCCACTGGGGAAAGCAGCACAAGCACAGTTGTCACCCCTATCCGAGGGCTGAACAGCTGCAGCCCAGAACTACAGCATCCCAAATTCATTTGATCCTCTGCCTGCTAAGGAACCTATCATGCTCTAGATTAACAGTACATTCATAAACAATTAAAAAGGATTCACAGATGTTAAACATGTACAAACATCAAGTTGAAATAATATTAATGATTATAAACTTTATGGAACAGGTGATGCAGACTTATGGCTATTCACAGATAGTTTTAAAGGGGTCTAATAATTATTAACCCTTTATATACTGTTGATAGAGTGAAATCTAAAATAAAAGTGAAGTGGGGCTACCAGCAAATTGTCAGGCCATCCCCTGAAGACGGGACAATACTGATACACATCCCTGTCCTTAGCAAGCTTCTCTTGCTGCCTGCTTAAATGATTCTCCATGGCATATCCTGGCATTTGCTAATCTACTCTTAGACACCTAATTCTCTCTGTTAACTACACAGGGCCTGGAAATAAACTCAGCATTCCTTTACAGGAGCCCTTCAAGGATCTGAATTTTTAGCATAAAAGGAAATTTTCACAGAGCCATTCAAAACATTCAATATCATTTTGCATGGAAGGGACCCCTGGAGGTTATCTGGTTCAAGCACAGCCAACTTCAAATTTAAAGTTGCTCAATTATGTCATCTGATGATAAAACTGGAAGATTTTGCTAAATGTAGCTTGATACCTATATGGGAAATGTAGCTGGGAGCCATTCTGCCCTAATAAGCCGAATAGCCATAATATAAATGCCAAAGAAAATGAAATGTACTTCACAAATAAAGTAATTGGTAAGAGCTAAGGCCATATTTCAGTTGTTCCCAAGAAAACACTATCAAGCAACATCTAGGTCTTTCTGCTGGAAACTCAGGTGAACCATGCTCTTACAGCTCTTAGGTCTGACAAGGAGTGCTATATCAGTAAGTCTTATATACACCAGGCTTTGCTCATGTTTGCAGTCCAAATAAAGAATACATGCCAGAGTCCCTCAAAAGTCAGCACAGACCTATTTCATCTCAAACTAATGGAAAATTAAAATATGTTCACTCTAACACAGGTAAACACAGCTCACGCACAGCACTTGTTTTGCTGAGCACTGTTTCACAGAATATGCATCATAAGCTGACTCACTGGGTAAGAGGACTGAAATGTACCAGGACCCCACAAGTGTGGTGGAGTCAGTGGGTGTTGGCACTGCAGTGGAACGAGATCCTCAGCACATACTTTCAAAGGAATGAGCATTAGCACTGCAGACTTGTAGGGACTAGCACAAAAAGAACAGACAGCTTTCAGAAATATCTGTGACGTGGCATACTTGCTCTTTTAACATGTCACAATAGGAGTCATTTGGTCTGGGGTGGCAGTTTTACTGCCTTAACTACCCCAAAGGGCAAGAAAAGAAAAATCAAATTTAAAAACAAAAAAAACAAAAAAAAAACCCAAGGAGTGAAAAAAGAAGTTGAGGAAACAGTACAGTCAGAACAATGATGATGAGACAAGAGGCATAGAGGAGATTCGGGAAGAGCTCCTTTGACAAAATACCTTTGCCTTTAAATCAGGCCAGCCCCAGTGGAGACTGCAGCATTTGAAAGTCTAAAGGCACCGTGAGTAAGACCACTTAAGGACTGATTCCCTGATCACCCTGAAGCCTTGAAGTGTTCCCTACCAGTAACTCTGCTTTGATTTCGTCGGGCTCTCTGCCCCCTCTCATTCCTGCCGTTCAATGGTTTGGTTCCCTCAGGCGGTCAAAACAAGATAGACTTTGTCTGCTTTGGTTTTGCCGACTCCTTTGACTGGAATCCTGCAGATGGCTGCATGTGTAAACTGCACGTGGGAAGAGAGCAGTGCTTGATGTCTAGACACTGCCACTGATTTCAACTTCAGGCTCCTTGGCAGCAGAGACGTGTTCTTCCTCTGCTAAAATCACCCAAGCATGCGGATAGGGCAGTTGTGGCTGAAATGGGCTTGTAAATACCTTAGATGGGATGAAGGGCAAACAGGTCTCTCCGGATCGAACGCCAGAGCTCACTCCTCCCTCACTGCTGACACCGGCAAGACTCTAAAACTTGGGGGGTAGGAGTCCTGTGTGCTCCTTTGCAGTCACAACAGTGATGGCATCTTCACTCTGGGGCTGCATTTCCACATCAATTAGGTAATAACTGTTACAGGGGCTGCTACTGTTACTGGATCAAAGTCTGGATCAGCCTTTGAAAAACTAAGGGAAACAAACACTCCGCACTAGGGCTTCCCAGGAGTGCAGTGTGTTTGTTTTGTATTTTGCACATACTAAACAGACATGCAAGAGGCAGCTCTTCTGTGTAACTACTAAGGAGCATTCATTCTGCATGGTCCCTATGCTGCTCCACAGACTCCACAGCCCAGTCCTAGCAAGGACAAGGCACTGCTAAAAACTGTGTTACAAACCTCACAGCCATTGCCAATATATTCCACCACATCCCTGTGCAAGGTATCAGAGCATTCCACATCTGAAATCTTCCCCAAAACATCTGGAGATCCTCTTAGACTCACCAATGTCAAGGACCCTCTGTTTAGCTGTGTGCTGCCGGGAATGCCAGTACTTCCAGTATTTCAGCTGTTCGTCTCTGTTTTTGTCCTCACTGAAAACAACCATGACCACACTCTACGAAAAACAACACCAGAAGTCACATTAGTTAAAATAATTAATAGTCAGAAACACAAAAATTAAAATCTCCCATATGCCTCTAATGCTGATCCAGTCATCACCCTCTCTCCCAGTACTTTGTAGAGGATTCCTGGGTTTTAATCCAGTTCAATATTGCAATGCACTTAAAGACTCAGGGCAGAACAAATGTAGTTTGAAAATAATGCAAGGCCTTGGGTTATGTTCTTGATAGTAAAAAAAAAAAATTGATCATATTCTTAGATTTAAGAAGTCTAAGTTTTCTTAAGCAAAAAGTGGTAATTTCAAAGTCAGAGGATCCCCAATTACAATTCTGATCCGAGTCCAGTCAAAGTGCTGGAGTTCAGATTCCTTGTCACTCTGGAAGATGACATTACACTGAAAGGGATGTGCTGTTAAGGAGCTTCATCTCATTTACTAAAGGCAGGACATTTTCAGTTTTAGCATACACAGTCCAAATACCTTTCTTAGGAGCAGGACTCTTGCACACACGTATTTAATGACAAACTCAGTGCAACTATTTACTGAGTTTTGCTGAGGTTTTAAGTTCACATTCTGAATTTCCTTTGTTAAACTATGTGATTCAGAGGAAATTGATTGAAACTTTATGCAAAATTTTACACAAGCAATTAAAGCTTTTTTGAAAAACCCTGCTGTAGGCAAGCAAAACAGGAAAAATCCCACAAAACAATGAAAGAATGATCACTATAGGTTAACTAAAAATAGACCACAGAGAACAAAAAATTCACTTTTAAATATCATGTTTTTTTCCCATTCTTCCTTTAACACTGAGACACACTCAGCTCACAAAAAATCACCACCAAGCTGTTTCATAAGCTGAGGAGCTGAGACACAATTCAAGATCTATATCCCTCCACACAGTCACCACCATAACCCCTCATGTGCTCTGGGACCTTCTGCATTCCACCTACAAAAGCTGAACACCATCAGCACATCTTCCATGTCTAGCTACTGTGTGGACATGAGGCAGTATACACTGCGGATGAGTCCTGAGTTATGCCTGTGCGTACTGATTGACCCTCAGGTTTGTGCTGGCTGGACAGCTGGTACACTAACCAGCACTAGTCACGCAGACTAATGCTGTCCATGGTGGTAAAGCTAATCTTTTTCTCTATGAACCACTTACATGGTGGAAAAACTAATATTTTTCCTCTATGAACCACCTACATGGAACCTGTAGAGGTTTAATACCTGCAATATCTCTTGCCCCTCTGTCAGGTTTGGATGGAATTTGCAATAAATTCAACAGTTGCCTGAGTAGGGCCCTGGCAAACAGAACACGACCGTGAAAGTTGCATATGGTTTCACAATCTTCTGTAAACGACATCCCCCAAAAGGATGTGGTCTCATCTCTCCTTTACAATTTCCATCCTTCTGCTGCCACAGCTTCAAAACTCATGTGGCTGTGCAGTAAATCAGGCCTATAAGGACTGTTCGTCAGCCAGAGCAGTGAGCTCCTGACTCCTGTTTCAGCTGTACCAATGGAACCACAGCTGGTTTCAGCTGGCACCACAAAGGGGTAAGGAATGGGTGACAAGGAAAGAAGCTTTGCAGCAACAGAGAAGTCTTACATCAGCTTCAACCAAGTGTCACAGCACAGCCTCCTGTCCTCAGGAAACCAGGCTAAAAATTAACTGCTAATTCAGGTTTCCATAACATTGCCTCTGCTTAGGAAGAGTCCCTCTAAACTTCACGTATGATAGAAACATATAGGTTGTTGTCTGCTTCATTGCTCACGTTGACTTTCATTGGTTCCTTCCACTGAAGTCACAACATTTTTACAGTACATATTTATTTGGATGGAAACATTTTTGCAGCCTCATACATATGCAGCCCTGCCAGCTTCAGGGTAAAATTTACAGGGCAGTAACTCTGAAGCTCATTGTTCATTCCAAGGTTACTGGGTTAGGATTCGCTAAGTCAAAAACATTACCAAGGAGACCAGGAAGTCCATTCACCAAGTAGATGTTGCTGCATATACAAGCCCCAGTTCTTCCTGTGGAATCTAAGATGCAAATCATTCTATTTCTCATACTTTTGGTGAATATCAAGTGAAAGCTCACATTTATACAATGCAAATTGTTTAGAATTTACGTCACAAAGGGTGGATTTAAACTCTGCACATTTTATCTGAAATTCACTGAAAAGTGGCTGATGAAGTACATGAGTGAGTGAAGATGGACTATACAGTAGATGCAGCAGTTCTTGGATTTATTTTCTTTAATCATGACAATGATAAGTTCACCAATGTCAAGTGCATTATCTGTGACATCACCATTCTTCCAAACCATAAACTGACGCAGATATGCATATAATTAACTCATAAGATCACCCTCTGAAAAAACTGGATCCCAAAATATTTGAGATCACCGTCAATATTACTCTCCCACTTTTACACTGAGCATGAGAATAAGTTTGCTCTGTCCTCTCCCACAAGAAAAAGCATTAATTAAAAGCCAACCAACCACAACTGTATCTATCTGCAGAGCTCCATTCTAGGAAAGAAATGGGACTTTACCCTGACTTTGCTGATGGGATGCCGGAAACATTTGTTGTCACCCGTCTCACTCAGGGTGATGGCGTAGAACTGTCCTTTGTTCAAGTAGGTCATGGGTCCCTCCCCTTGCTTTTGACGCAGAGATTTGGTAGCTTCTAGCGTATATTGAAAAGTGCTGCTGAAAAGACAAGGAGAGAAACACCAACAAAATTCATATCACTTTCTCACTTTCTCTTTGTCCCCATTTCTTGCATACATCATGCATGGTATAAGGCATAAGAAGCTAATAATAAAATTCCAGTAAAAGGTCACATGGTGATTTAAAAATCCAACTTTTTTTTTCAAGTTCATCAGATCTGGCAATCAAGCGTAAAACTATCTGGACTGTAAGTCTCTTGGATCAAAGACTACATCTTTATTTTCTCTGAAAAGAACCATTATGAAGTACAAGACTACATACCCCACAATGAGAGTGTCAAATACCAGGGGGGAATTCAGTATGATTTGCAGGAAATCACCAACTCCACAGACATTTAGATTTAGAAGTGTCACAGAAAGAGAAGCAAATAACAATAAAATTTAAAACAAAACAGAATAAAAGTTGTTGCAAAAGATGGATACAGAGAGTGGAAAGTCCAGCTGTTTACTTTCAGCACAGTGAAGAGAAGGAATACAAGAAGGGACAGTAAGTTCACTTGTTTAAAGGCAACATGCAAATCAAGGTTTTTACAAGCTTTCTTTTAAAAATGAGTCAAACAGAAAAAAGTGCCTACACTTAGTTGTAACTGCAATCAAGTAACCAGTTTCAGACAGCTTAGTATCAATTAGTTTAGCAGCAATCATTCAAACAAACAAAGATAATTTCTAAGTGTTTCTTATCTTATAAATTGCAATCAAGTCATTTTTTATACTTGCTTAAAAGTTACAAATCAAAGTAAAACTAAGGTAAAAACCAAATACTCATCTATACCTATCCAACCCACTGATGGCAGAACCAGCACTTCCCAGCATTGCAGCTGCTCCAACACGAAGACTCTAGTGCACAATGGGAAGGCAGCACAAAGGGCACTGTGGTCCCCTTCGCTGGCACCCACTGCTGTGTGTGCTGCCACAGTCCCTCTGTCCTGTGTGCATGGGAACAGAGGCACTGCTGACACTGGTGAGCAGTATGGCCCCATCTGAGCAGACTGGAAGAGCAAAACAACTGGTGCTGCACACCCAGCATCCGTCCTGCTGCATACGCTTGTCCCATGGACTGACCACCCACTAGCAGAAGGGACACACGAAG